ACCTTTCAGCAGATAATTTAAAAACTCCTCTTATTATCTCAGCTAATTTTCACAGAAACCTTGCTAAGCACATTTTTTTCTCCCCATTTATTCAAGAGAAAATTAGGTCTCAGAGAGTAGCTTGCCTGAGGCCCTATAGCTAATAAGTAGCAGAAGTAGTATCAAATCCAGGTTTTAACCAGACTGCAAACTTCATGCTCATGCTCCCTAGAGGAACACTGTCCTTGCTTCAACTTCATTTTCATTGTCACGTGGAGGTCTGTGCAGACTGCTGGTTGCCTACCCAATATCCATTCTTATCTTCTTTCTTAGTAACAGAATTATCTCTCCCCTCCCCCTCCCTCAGGCAACAGTGTGCTCAGCTAAAAGAGTACAATTCTCCAGTCATATGAATAAGTTCTGGTCCAACCACTCCCTTCCTGTTTCCTGTCTGGAATGTGGGCCTGATGGTTTGAGCATGAACAAGGGTGGTCTGATTTTTTTTTTTTAAATATATTTTTATCAATTTCAGAGAAGGGAGAGGGAGAGAGAGATAGAAACATTAATGATGAGAGAGAATCACTGATCGGCTGCCTGCAAGCCCCACACTGGGGATTGAGCCCACAACCCGGCATGTGTCCTGACCGGGAATCAAACCATGACCTCCTGGTTCATAGGTCAATGCTCAACCACTGAGACACACCAGCCAGGCAAGTCTGATCTTTGACTGTAGTCACTAGCACATGGAACACACTAGGAGAATATAGGACATAAGCCTAGTAAATGTTTTAAATAAACTTTTTAATTTTAAAATAACTTTTGAGTTACAGTGAAGGGGAGCAGACTTTGCCAGCCCAACATATGCCACTTTGGGATATTCATTATTTTAGGCTGGTTAATTTTAACAAACAGCAGGGATGGGAGATAGTTTGAAAAATCAAAGTTACCCTTTGTAAAGGTCTTTTCCAATTGTAAGGAAAACTATTTATTTCCATTGTATAGTTTCCCTCTCTGTGCCAGACTTGCCTTCATTATCAAGGAGAAGACAGGGACTTAAATCTGAATAACAATCTTACCCTTGTCTGCTGTGCTTTCCCTGGTAATCTCCCATAACTTCTTTTGTCTTTAGCTGGAGGTGGTATTTCTGGTGGTGGCTTCTGCCATTTTGGCAAGTTACTCAGTGTTCCTGGGTCTCTCTTATGTATATACAAGAGGCATGCATGTTATTAAACTTTAATGTTTTTCTCCTTCCAATTTGTTTCATATTAATTTGATTATAAGTCCTGCCAGAGAACTCAAAGGTTAGAGGATAATTTTTCCTCCCCAACAGAAGAAGGGAGAGACTATCAGACAAGGTAATTTAGTTAAGGTTTGATATCTGAGCTCCAAATTAATTTAGTGATAGCCTCAGGATAGATAGATCTGACTCTGAAGCCAATTTCCTAACAAATGTAATATCCTTTCCATATTTTATCCTCCTGCCTAAACAAATAATTGTTATGTTTATGGGAGACAGTAGGTTTTTGCCAATTTTTCAAAGAAAAGATGAAAATGATTCCTTTTGCCAATGTTCTTGAGATGAACTCAAAACCTCAAGTTTAAATACTTACAATTTTTATTATAGTTTGTGATTACATGAGAATGAGTTGCATAAACAAAAAAAATGGAAGTCAATTTTGTTTTTCTTTTTGAGTTCTTATCACTACTTTTGGCTCTTAGTAGTGAGGAGTCTTTTCATATTTTACATTCCACAAACGATGTTATCCACCATGATTTTTAAATGTCTATTTTTCTGAGAAACACATTTTTATGTCCACAGGCATTCTGTCTTATGTTTATAGAAGTATCAAGGACAAAAATTGCATTAGTGTTGGGGTGGGTGAATTTTGTCACAAAGGATAAATTGTTTAACAAACCATTGTTCTATTTAGATTTTACTTAAATCTCAACAAATGACATGTATACCTGTTACTGGCAATGTTGCTCTCGGTTCTTGAGTTCAGCAAAAAAAAAAAATATATATCAGAGCCAAGAGCTCTAGTGCATGAGAGGGAGTTTACTTAGCGTGCGAAGCTTAAGTACACTAAAAGAGAAGATTCAAGTGGACTGCTCGGAGAGTTGCCTTGGTGCTTTAAAAAGAAAGTCACAGCCCTGGCCAGGTGGCTCAGTTGGCTAGAGCGTAATCTCATACACCAAAAGGTTGCCAGTTTTATTGCTGGTCAGGGCACATACCCATGTTGCAGGTTTGATCCCCAGTTAGGTTGGGGTGCATACAGGAGGCAATCAATCCATGTTGCTCATATTGATGTTCCTCTCTCTCCCTTCCTCTCTCTTTCTCTCTCAAAAATCAATAAAAATATATCCTCTGGTGAGGTTTTAAAAAAAAAAAAAGAAGAAAGTGTGGGAAACAGTTTATTGTCTTCACTATCTGATAAGCGTAGACAGAGAACCTCCCCCCCCCCCCCCCCAAGGCTGGGTGCCTTTGAAGCCCTAGCAAAGGTTGGAGCTAGGCACCACCTCTGTTTTTCCAGACAGTGGTAGCTGAAACAACTCCCCCATTTATTATTATGTAAATCCTTGCTGATGGGCTAGGGGGGTCGCCTGCCTAAGGGCTATGCTATGGGGGTATCCCAGATCAATAAAAGCTTGGTAAGACCTGAGCACAGGTGGAAGTCCTTCCTCCTGAGTTGGACTTACTCGCCTGGTCCCCCAATATTTCCAAATTATCTCGTGTATTTTCTTTCATTTGTGTGCGGCTCCGCTTCCAGGTCCTGAAACCTGATCTGAAGCAGGGGGTCCCTCGGGGGTGAGGACGACGGAGCCCCAACGCGCTAGGGCGTCTGCATGCACGACTCCAGGGACCAGGTTCATTGACGCAGATCCGTTTAATTGAGGAACTACAGGGGCATATATAGCATGAGGGGACCAATCAGAGGGAGACACATTGCTATAGGCGACCAATCAGAGGGAGACACGTTGCTATAGGCGACCAATCAGAGGGAGACACGTTGCTATAGGCGACCAATCAGAGGGAGACACGTTGCTATAGGCAACCAATCAGAGGGAGACACATTGCTATAGGTGACCAATGGCTGAAAGGCTGGGTACTATGCACGTGGCTCTAGGAGTTAGTTCAGGCGGGCATTGCTACTTCCTGGTGTGCTGAGGAAGCATGTCATGGTGGAGTGTGCTCACACCATTGCAACAGCCACAGCGCTGAGACATACTTCCCGAGCTCTACTACACTGATCCACGCGTGACGTGGGAAGGAAACACTCAGCAAGAAAGAAAGTCACAGAAGCAGAAGAAGTGAATCATCTGGGCTGTGTGGACCCAGGAAACAAGTTACAGAGGCAAAAGAAGGGTCCTTGGAGACTGGTTCAGAGGGTTAGCCCAGCACGAGATGCTGCTGCCCACTGCCCTCTTGGTTGCAAGTCTCATAGGGACCCTTAGAGTTTAGGAGAAAGAAAGCAAAGATACACACCTGAAAAAAGAAGGCTAGGGAGTGCTCTAGAGAGTGTGCGCTGGGTCCTTGGTCTTAAGAGTTATGTTTTCTAAAGGCAGGAATTTTAGGGGCGTTTTCCAGGGAGAATCTCAATAGAATATTCATCAGCTTTGCAGGTGTGTCTTTTAATATGCTGATTCATCAAAATGAACTGACAGAATCTGGGTCGTGGTCTCTACTGATTGGTTGGTGCTAAGGTAGGGGAGTCATTAATCATTGCATCTGGTCCTGGTGTCGGCCTTGGTGTCACTTTGTCTGGTTCTGCTGCTTTTATGAGCCTGCAGCTGAAACACAACTAAGGCCTAGATCAGTGGTTCTCAACCTTCCTAATGCCGCGACCCTTTAATACAGTCCCTCATGTTATGGTGACCCCCAACCATAAAATTATTTTCGTTGCTACTTCATAACTGTAATTTTGCTACTGTTATGAATCGTAATGTAAATATCTGATATGCGGGATATATTTTCATTGTTACAAACTGAATATAATTAAAGCATAGTGATTAATCACAAAAACAATATGTAATTATATATTCAATATATGTTTTCTGATGGTCTTAGGTGACCCCTGTGAAAGGGTTGTTCGACCCCCAAAGGGATTGCGACCCACTGGTTGAGAACCGCTGGCCTAGATGCTATCTCTAGTTTGACCAAAACTCTGTGTCTGTGGTCAATAGACCTGAGGCTTTGTTCCTAAGATGATTTGATGCTGATCAGAACCTCACTGTCTTCAGGGCTTAATGCTTAAGGGAGTGGATGTGCAAGGGAGAAGGAGGCAAGTGAGTCTGGGTGCTGGATGAGGCCAGTTTAAATCAGCTGTCTCAGTTTCCCCATTCTACTTGCCAAGGAATTTCCCTAGCTTCTTACTATCATGCCTCATACCTTTGGTTGAGGACTGCTTTTCCATAGCAACAAAGAAACTGGATCGAGAAATAACCAGGTAGGTACCATGAACTGCCTGAAAGTCATCTTGAATCATCAGTCTGTTCATGTGGGCAAACTATATTGATTTTAAGAGTAAATATTAGTTAAGATGTTTTTGGATGGAAGTAAAATATAAATAAAATTTTAAAGTGAAAAATAACTTACTTTTATCACAGAACAAAAGTCCAGAAAGCTCTACGCTGGTGTTAGGGCGGAAAAATTATCCTCTGCCTTTCAAGTTCTGGCAGTGTGGGAATCACCCTTACGAATGGAGATTTCCCTTATAAATGTGAATGTCCTTTAAAAGGATTACTTGTACTTAGTTTTCAGAGCTTTGCCCATGTCTGCCGTTTGTTAAAATTGATCAGCTCAAAATAATATTGCAAAGAGGCCTACTTTGGGGTGGCAAACTCTGTTTCCCTTCACTGTTTTTTTTGCAATTTCTTGATCTTGTTTTTTAATTGATTAAGAGAGAGAGAGAGAGAGAGAGAGAGAGAGAGAGAGAGAGAGAGAGAGAGAGAGGAGAGAGAGAGAGAGAGAGAGAGAGAGAGAGAGAGAGAGGAGAGAGAGAGAGATTGGTGAGAGAGACAAATATTGATTTGTTGTTCACTTATTTATGCACTCATTGGCTGATTCTTGTATGTGCGCTGACCAGAGATTGAACCCACAACCTTGGCATATCCACTCTAACGAACTGAGCTACCCAGGCCAGCACTACAATTTCTTGATCTTGACCCCCATTGTCACAACATGGCCTCCTGGGTTCTGAGCATCACATCTTCACACAATCACATTAAAAACAGAAAGGCAGCGGGTGGGGAGTGAGGACAAACCGTTCTTTCTTTTCTTCTTTCTCATAAATTCCAAGCAGACTTCCCTTTACATCACTGGCCAGAATTGGGGTCACCAGGGAGGCTGAGAATGCGAGTACTTGGCATTTTTTGTCTCTGCTGGGGGAGACAGCCACGCCAGCAAGGAAGCTGGGAAACTTGGTATGACCTTGGGAAGACAGCCAACAGTGTCTGCCACAGGGGCCTGGTAGCTATGGTCACCGCATGTGCCTTGCCTATTTCTTATGCTCAATGAGCTAAAATGTGGAATGTGCAACGTCACACGAAGTAGGAGGAAGAGGAGTGGGAAACACGTGGCTGGTATAGAAAGGCCATCTGATGAATGAGTCACCTGCAAGAGTCAGAAAAGTTGTAAACTATCCTTAACTCACAAAACTATTCAAGTCAGAAGGACAGGACTGCCAGGTTAATAAGCCGAATACTGAATACTAAACAGAGTGCCCTCAGAAAGGCTCACTGGATCTTCTCCCCACTCTTGAAGCCCCACACACTTGGAAAATGATCTTGCTGTTGAGGCCTCCCTCTTAATGGTTTGACTGGAAGTGTACTGATATTTGTTTGTTCAGATTGTTATTCATGCGTCCTCTTGCATTGCCTCAGGATCAGGGTCCAGGAGTTAGGAATTCACAGAAACCTAGAAACCAATGGAGAAAGCATTGTTTACTCTGCTTATTAAAGACAATATAATCTCTCATTTCCATTTATGAATAAGGACACCTCCCTTATAGAATCCAAAGAATAATGCCATGCCAGATTTTCATTTCATTCAGTAGAATCCCATCTTCCCAGCAGCCTATTTCAGAACTATTCTCAGTATTTCCATTAGGTCCACATGATTAGGACAAAAGAGTTAATGCATAGCAAAGCAAGGGGTGGAGAGGGGGGGGTGTTGACTGGTATATTGTAAAGTGGAAACAAACATCTTTTGTTTTGTTGCTGTTTTTTAATAAAAACATGATAATCAACATCCTAACCAAATGTAAAAGGTGGGCATTTGAATATTTTTAATTAGAAGGACTAATGCATACTGCCACATTTAGTCAAATCTAGAGTTCCCGGTGCAGGCTTAAATCATAAATGTGGGCATTATTGCCTTTTACAATACTCCATTGATAGAACACCAACTTTAAAGCCAATTAAAGGTTGGCAATCTTCCTACCATTGGCAAAGTAACTCTTGTTAACAGTTCCCCTTGTGACACGTTTCAGCATAATCACTGATTTCTGGAAACCTTATTTAGCACTTACGGATATTTTGAAATCTCTAATGAATTTCTTTTTATAGACATTTTAACGTTTTACTTTAATTTTTTAAAGGTGTTCAGGTAGTTTAATTTTATACACTCAGATGGTGCATGTATGCAGATATTTATATGTGAAGGACAAAATGTTAGAGTATGTAGAACTATACTCTATAAATAACAGTTTGCTCGTAATACTCAGATTTTAATGGTTCCATTTCTGAAATCTAATTGTACCCAAATTCATTCAGAAAAACCTCATACTAGAATCCAAATACGCAGACAACTGTTCTTTCTGTTTAATAAATTACAAGTTCTTGTCACTTAAGAATTGGTTAAAAATAGTTAGAATAAGTAAATTCTTTCCTGGTTATTTACTTCAAATAAAAATGTTTTGGAGGCTGGTAAACTCTTTTTTTACATTTCATATGGAAATAATTTGATAAGCTTGGCAAAGATGTGACCAATGAGCTAAGAACATTCAAGTTATTTTAGTCTTGAGTTACTAACACTGAACAGAGAACTAGTTTTCATCAAGTAAAGAACAGCTTGATTATATGCTAGGCAAATGTTAATGCAAAAGTAAACAATAGTTTTCACTTAGGTTTTATGTTCTGGCATATTTCAAATAGATAATATTAATTCAAGATGACATGATGCATCTGTATACTCAATACTAGAAACTTGATAACATTAAAATCAAATTATAGAAGGCATCCTGATATTCAATATTAGCAATAGATAATATTAGTATAGGATGATACAGTGCATCCTGATATTGACAGATTATTTGGGTATATACTTTGACATGTGTTTATTTTCAGCCATCCACACAGTGTTCATGTCAGGACAAATATCAGTATGTTTAATTGCCCTCTTTAAAAAGAAAAACAACAGTCGTTATTATTGCAACTGTAATTAAGTATATAGTGTTTAATTTAATTTAGTTCATGGAAATATTTTTTCCAAAGAAATATGCTTTAGGAATAAGTTTTTAAAAACTTAAAGATGCAATTTTAAAGTTTGTAAATGACATATGTATATTTAAAAAAATATACATATACATATATATATATATATATATATATACACACACACATATATTTTTTATTGATTTCAGAGAGAAAGGGAGAGGGAGAGAGAGATAGAAACATCAATGATGAGAGAGGATCACTGATCAGCTGGCTCCTGCATGCCCCACACTGGGGATTGAGCCTGCAACCCGGGCATGTACCCTGACTGGGAATCAAACTGTGACCTCCTGGTTCATAGGTGGATGCTCAACCACTGAGCCATGCCAGCCGGGCTGTAAAGTATATTGATAATGGTAAAAAGAAACAACCCACATATATAAAAATTAAGATTTGATTAGCCAGGCTGGGTGGCTCAGTTGGTTGGAACATCATCCCATACACCAAAAGGTTGCAGGTTTGATTCCTGTTGGGACACATATCTGAGTTTCAGATTGGATCATATAAGAGGCAACCATTTGATGTTTCTCTCTCACACATAGGTGTTTCTCTCTCTCTCTCCTTTCCTTTTTCTCTAAAAATCAATAAAAACATATCTTCAGGTGAGGATTAAAGAAAAAAAAATTTGTTTAAATAAATTTTATCTTTAGGTTGGCAAGGCAGAGACAATTAGTTGCCTATCTATATCAACTAACCTATATTTCTTAGTAACTTCCTAATTTCATTCAGGATGGGATGGGCATGTTGATGTAAGAACATCCAAATCTGTAGAGAATTTTTAAAAGAGGTTATTTGAGCCAAACTGAGGACACACTGGGAAGCAAGATCTCAAATGTTCTGGAGAATGACAGTTTTGCAGTTTCTTTTATACATCTGGAATTAAGGCAGGAATGTAAGGAAAATTTACATGAAGGTGAAAAAAGCAAGGTGAGCAAATATCTATGATTGGATTTCTGGATAGTTCCCAAGACTATGTGCTCCACTGAGGGTGCTTATGCCTCTGAGGGGTCTGAAAAAGAGGATTACTCTGGCCTTTCAAAGATGTGTTAAACTAGAAGCACAAGAACAACAGACAGGGCTTGTTCAAGGCAAAGACTAACCTTTTGTTTTAAAAGTTATAGGCCTGGGCGTGACTATCACCTGACCTACGCAGATAGGAATTTATGATCCGATCACCACCCTGGGAGGTTACTTTCGGTCACTGCACTTGCTGGATGTTTGGTTCACAGGCACGCAAACTATGCAGTTACACAAGAACCCCTGCTCAGAAGGGCCTTTTGCTTGGCTAATGCTCTATTGTTGCTATTTGAAATTCTTAATTTTCTCTTTGAACTTGTGTGTTGTGAGGTCTGACAGAACATCGGTGTGAGAAGAGGGGTACAGGCAATATGCTTGTTTGTTGTTCCTTGTTGCTCCATTTGTATTCCTATATCCCCATGAGCTCGGAATTCCAGTGGTCCCCCAATGAGCCAGAGTTCAGCGAGACTCAAAGCAAGGACAAGAAAAGTGTGTTATATCTAAAAGTGATTAACATGTTAAGCGCTAAGCCTGTTTTGTCTTCCTTTCCGTTTCAGTCACCGGTGACTGACATGGCGCTTAACATGTTAAGCTGGGTTCCTGACACTTCCTAGAGGCCACACTTCTCATTTGAACCAGAACTTGCTACCAAGAAAGAAGGCAATGGTATTCCCAGAAACATGTATCATTTCTTACTCATGTTAATTCCCTGAAGTAGTCAACAACTTATCCTGTAAATGGTGACATGGAGAAGGAAAAGATAGACAACCCATAGTTCCTTTTCCTTGCAGTCTTTCTTTCTTACTCATCAGTAAGCTGAAGTCAGAGTGTTGGTAGAACGTACTGCATGTGTATCAAGAAGTGAAATAAAAATAGTTGATTTCATTCTGTGTAGCATTGTTACTGTTTTGGTAAGAACCAGGTACAGATGCATGCACATGCTAATGAAATACAAATCATGGGATTCAGGGATTCCATATACAAATTACATGTTCTTATATTTGCATTTAAAACTGACATTAGTATAAAGATGAAGGTCACATTGATCAGCACACCCCCTCCTGGGAATAGCGCCCACAACCCAGGCATATGCCCTGACCAGCAATCGAACCAGTGATATCTTGGTTCCTGGGTCGATACTCAATCGCTGAGCCACACTGGCCAGGCATACCCTACTTTTTAAGCAAGAGGTCCCACATTTTCTCTTTTTCTTTGGGCCCCACAATTAGGTAGACAGTTCTAACTTTGTGAAACCAACCCACCACCTGTGAACTGCCTACTTTTGTGTCTAAATTACTGTTATTTAGTTTTTGTCAAATCTAAACTCAAGAAGCAATATTTGATTATTCACAAAACTTACTTTTGTTAGACTTTAAAAAGTAGGTTATGCACAGTGTGTGACATTTTTGTGTTTTTTTAAAAATACACATAAACACATGGATACACACAGAAAGAAAAGAAGGCCAGAAAATAATTACTCCAAAACATTAATAACATCTATCTCTAGGGACTGGAATTATTGATGATATTTATTTTCTTTGTGTGTATGTGGTTTTCTATACTTTTTAATCTCCATAAAATGAATATGGATTTTTTTTTAGATAAAATTTAGAAAATTTACATATGAATCCTGAACTGGTATGACATTTACCACTAAATCCACACACTGTGTAAAACTCAGCCTCATGTTATTTTATTTATTTTTTAAATATTTTTTTTATTGATTTCAGAGAGGAAGGAAGAGGGAGAGAGAGAGAAACATCAATGATGAGAAAGAATCATTGATCAGCTGCCTCCTGCATCCCCCCCTCCCCCCCGGCACTGGGGATCAAGCTCGAAACCTGGACACATGCCCTTAACTAGAATCAAACCTGAGACCCTTCAGTCCGCAGGCCAACACTCTACCCACTGAGGCAAACCAGCCAGGGCCAGCCTCATGTTATTTTATATAGTTTACTTAATTTTTTAAAAATTATTTATTGTTTAAAGTATTTCATATGTCTCCTTTTCCCCCAATTGACCTCTCCTGGTCATTCCCACCTCCCTCCACCCCCAGCACATGCCCTCACCCCGCTACTGTCTGTGTCCATGGGTTTTGCCTTATATGCATGCATACAAGTCCTTGGGTTGACTCTCACCACCCCTCCCCCCTTATAAAACTAATAAAGGCTGGTTGTAACAATTGAAATAATACAAAGTTATAAATATCAAAAAGCCAATCTTATCTCTCTACTCTGTCCCTGTCATCTAAGGTAAACATGTTAAAAGCTTGGCATGCATCTTTTCACAAACTATATAGTATAATCAAACCTATATAATTTGTTCACAATTATATAGGTTACACATACACATAGATGGAAAAAAAGAAGAAAGGTAGAGAGACTGATTGAATTTTGCATTTGTTTC